TTTTGGGGGCCCAGGCCAAATTTTCAAAACGACCAAAAATCTTTTTAGTTTCTTTTTGAAGTCCAATCCCCGGCACATCCACTAAACATTTATTCTCTCATGACTCTCTCATGAAATGCCACTGGCGTAGAAAAAAAAGTAATACTGAGTTTGTTTTCCTGGTGTAACCTATTAAAAAGTTAGTTTGTGGTCCAGACTTTTTATTAACCCTTTATAACATATTTTTTATATTTTTAAGAGTCTGGATCTATCGTTGGACCCTTACACTTTACACACGATAAAGATTAATTATTTGTTATTTACATTAATTTAACACCCCTTCTAACATTATTTGTGCTAACATTATTTATAATTTTAATTTTATTATTTAGCGGAGCGAAACAAAATTCTTTGGGATCGCCTTCAATGCAAACTTTCTAACACTCACTCAATAACGGCTGATCATATTTTAGCCAACATATTACTGCATTATGTTAGCCTGGATCAACAACATCATAATTTGACCGACACAGAATTCTTGGATACACTATATCGCAGCAAAGTTAACTTTTATTTTAATCACAATATGATGAGTATTTGCTGGCCAAGTTTTGCTCGAAGAAATATAATATTTAATCCGCTATTTTCATTAACTCCACAAGGCTAGGGTCGAAAGCATAGATAAAACATACTCCCTTGTGTTGCTTAGTCTATGTCGAAAGTTATCAGTTTATAATACTTTTCAATCTTTGAAACACCTTGAAATATACGTAATTTTAACCAGTCAAAGAGTGGTCAGTCCGGTTGTTGTATTCACTAATTTGATTGGAAGTAAAAAGCAACCTATGGATGTTCTTAAAGAAGTGTGAAATGTATAATTCCTTTTGGAAAAAGTACACTGTATGTCCATGTTGACATCACTAGAACATAGTTTAAATTATTCTCAATGCATTTTTAATTGAGTAATGCAATGCATCACAGTGTACTAATTCGAAGTAGATATTTGAACATTAATTGGTTAATTTTAAGAATCACGAGTTGAAGTGACTATTAATTTACTTTAGTTTTAAGCTTTTTGGGTTTCTTGTCTCCAATTTTCACTGGGATTTCGTTCCAATATGTTTACTACCTTATCGTTTATCCGTAGAATCTTCCTTTGAAAAGCCAGAAAACAAGAAATATCCTAAAATAAAGGGGAAACGGAGAACTGGCCACCTCTAGCCCTAATCCGGATACAGAAGTTTGGTTAGGTAAGATTATATAAATATAGCCCATGATTTTACGACCAGTGGCCGGGACCCCTACACTCAAAATAGAGGTTAGCATCAAACAAGTCTCGTTTGATCCATTGAGTACGCAGGTCTGCTGTGACATGGTGTTGTTTACGATGGTGAAAGTATGTAGCAGCTCCCGTTTCTGGTGTTGTCCATCTACAGCTGAGAGGCGACTCGCGTCCCACGTTACATCATTGTCGTCGTCTGCTCTAGAAACGTCCCTGTATCTTCCAGCTGAGAGACGATAGCTAGAAGATCAACCGAAATATAGAACTGAAGTACGTTGGATCTTTGACTGTGGATCCTAGACGTTCCATCCCCATGTAGCTATCGATAGTTTTACATCCAAATTGACGTGGTTGATGAGACGCACCAGATTGGGCGGATTTAAATTACTTATCTCTATTGAATCAAGACTTTTTAAGTAAGTAAAACTGATGAAACGTTTATAAGCTATATTTACAATCTCAAGTCTTCATGTTGTTAGCCGGATCACTGGTAGAGTAATAATGGTTTAAATACCTTATACTGTCAAAGTGATCCATACTAGTCTGCAGTCTACTGCAGTTTCGTTCACGAGGGGAACTTCTTCAAGCTGTTCGAATGACGTCAAATTTCATTCCAGAGGAAGTAGTAAAAGTTAAAACCGTCGATGACACACATTTAATCACATCACAATCTAGAGGACGAACACAATAAATAAACATTACGAAAATCCCGGTATGACAACAAAAAAGGTAGAAAATAGAATGTTTAAAACTAGTGCAATATGTGACTGGCTCACTCTATATTCTTTTTTAGTGAATAAAATTGCGTCAGCTGGTCCATATAGATGGAATATCTACTTCAGCGTCCAATAATGTCAATGATTTGATATGTTTTGTTTTAGGGATGTACATAAACTACTAACCTTTTGAGAACTAGTTTCGGTTCTTCTGAACCATAATCAAGCCTCAAGGTGTCAGGTAATCACTTCATTCGAAGGTCGTTAACAGAGTTCAATTAAAAAACATTTATTTATTGAATTCTGTTTGTTAACGACCTTCGAATGAAGTGATTAGGGCCTACCTGACCCCTTGAGGCCTGATGATGGTTCAGAAGAACCGAAACTAGTTGTCAAAAGCAGCAACAAAGGATTACTATATGCAGGTATTGCAAACCATTTTAAGTATAATACAGTAATCCGGAGACTAAACAACTATTTTTAAAATATATTTAGGTTTAATTAAGGTTGAAATACGTTTCATGTTCCCATGCCATATAATACCATATTCTTCGCCAATACAATGTTGCCATCCAAAACAGCTGTTGCACTAATTCATAATTGAGCGTCTGCGCAATGATTATGTTTGCACGTTTGTTATTGTAGATATTTTCCATGTCTTGGACGGTTGGTGCAATGGACACCGACCGTCCAAGACATGGAACATATCAACAATAACAAACGTGCAAACATAATCATTGCGCAGACGCTCAATTATGAATTAGTGCAACAGCTGTTTGTACTAATTCAACTACTACTATTTGTACTAATTCAATGGGTTTTGGATACAAACCCATCTTGGTCGGTGCGACGTTGCCATACATTAACGCCTTAGAATATGCCGTGGCTGTGATAATACTGTACTATGGTGGCATTGCAATACAATTTGGATCAATACAATATTACTTTTTTTAAGAGCATTTTTTAAATGAAATGACTCTTCATCACGTGGGTGTACACATAAAAGGCAGTTGGTATTTTACAATCAGTAGTATTTTAATATATTTCAACATGATACCTTCTTGTGTACTTAATTTTGCAGTGAACGCTTACAAACCATTACAAAGCTGTTTTAAATTGAATTAGGCTAAATATACAAACATTTTCTCTATGTGTTGAAAGAGACTGTTTGCAATACAATTAACACATCTACCACGTAGACCATCGCACTAACAGTCGACCAAGAAGGCAAAAGAAGGGGTACAAGTGCTGTTAACTTCTGGATCTGGCTTCACTATTTTCAGCTTCAAGTGAGACAGGATATCAAGTTACCCTAGACTTTCGTGAATACTATAGAATTAACAACCACGTATTCATTTAGTTTGACACGATTAAAATGCATTAAGATTGTTGTGTTGTGATATAGAATGTCAAAGTAATACTGTTTTACATGCGACTAAAATAGAGTGTATGTATTTTGTTGTATGTATGTATGCGTTTGCTGTTAAAGAAAATTGGTAACGTAAAGCGCTTTCACATTTTAAATGTGATCGCGAAATCGCAATTTAAATATGTTACGCAGATACTTGTTAATTCGAAGTTAGAGGGATAAGCAAATAAATTTAAATAATCGATAGTTTTTAATTAACAAGAGATTCGATTTATTAAGAGAAAATAAATGATTCGAATTAAAAAGAGTTTATTATCTATTTAAAGATAGAAGAATATTTTTAAAACTTTGTATGATGTCTTGGTCACGTTGGTCAAACGGTTTTTATTGTGAAATCACATATTTGAAACCTGAAGTCAAATCACCTGCTATTGGTCAAATACCTGTCCAAAATCTCTTATTTTTTTTGGAATTTATTATTTAGTACTTGCAAAACGCAAATTGCAGAATCAATAATTTTGGAATTGTTACAGCTGTTTTAAAGCATTTTGATGGTTCCTGCAAACGTCTTCAAGCAGTTGAAGAATATCATGGATTTGAATCGTGGTGGCTGATAAATTTAAACTGTGTTTAGAGAATAAATCTTGTTTATGTTACAGTGAGGACCTTTAAAAACCTAACCCCATGGATAAGATAAATCCTTTACCGTCATGCCGCTGTGAAACAGCTGTTTTCAATTGTGTTGTTCTTTTCCTCCCCAAGAAGTGAACATCAGCTGGAGTCGATGACATCAGCAGTACATTTTGATCTATCGTTAATTTCGATTAAATCTAGAGGACCCATGCTGCTCCGCAGCATTAAAATAGATATAATCTCCGAGAAATAATCAAATTTTTTTTTTTTTATTGAGTAATACAGTATCTGATTCAAACGATCAATAGCTAAAAAGCCGATAATGTACTGATTATTTTGAGACTAAAACATATAAAAATCATAAACAATACTGGGCCTATTGATTTTTAATCATCGAAAAAAACATAGGTTGTTCGCCTTGCGTTTTCTTGAAACTCGTCCGATTTGAATAACTAATAACTTAAATGAAAGCGGGCAATTCACTGAAGGTTCTTAGACCAAAATATATAGGATTATATCATTATAAAAGGTGAAATACATCTTAAATTGTAGGAAGAATTCGAAAATAAATAAAATTTGTGTTTTTGGTCGAATAATACAGTAGATAAATATATGCCGATGCTTGAAGTGAAATCTGTGCGTGCATGCTTTCGATTAGAGGCCTTAATCATGAAAATCGGCCGGGTAAAAGAGGCAAACGAACCCGGAAAAGAAAACCCATTTTTTTAATAATTGCAATCAGTCTACGTACTCCTCTACTAACCATTTATGTGTGAAATATATTTTATGGTACTGACTAAATACGGCTTGAATTGGATTGGATATTTATCGGTTAGAACTAGAACCCATTGAATGCTGTAACTGACACAGGTCCAGTTCACAAGACATAACAATTTACACAATGATGAGTCCATAGGGAGGAGTGGACAAGTTTGATCTCCTTGCAAATCCCCTCCTTGGCTGGGCGTAGTCCTGCACTATATAAGATCTCCTATAGGAAACTGATCCACTTCACTGCACCATGCGCTGCGCTCTCTTGGTAAGTTCATTTTTATTAGTGATACACAATAAAAATAATTTTATTTTCTTATGCATTTTTCTGTATTTTTAAACAGGATCAGCCTAAAATCCCTCAAGTCCTTTAAAAATTAGAAATTAATACAGCTAGTTGTAGTTGTAAAATATTACGGAATTTCTATTATCAATGGGATTATTATAGGTTGACAACATACATTTCCCGTGTAGTTTTTCTTTATAAAATTTATTTTTTCCAGTCAGCATGTAAAGCGTTAGTATTATAAAGAAAGGAGCGATTAAATAACGTGAACCAAGCAAATGTAAATTCAAAAGTGAATGTGAAGTGAGAAAATTAAAACCAAACCAATGACAGTATAAGCTGCTGAGTTTGCTTATACATCCGATGATCAATCCTACAGGCTTTTGGAATTCCTCAGTCAAACATAATCAACATCCGTGATGCTTTCCTAATTAAAACACAGATATACAGAGATTTATCTAATACTAGCAGAGTACCCGTCCTTCATACGGGGTTGGCATATAAGTATAAAATGCTTATTGCAGTTATGGGAGAGGATACGGTTTTAATTTATACGGCATGCAATAGTATAGCACATCTACCATAGCCATAATGTTCTACCACTGCATCTAAACCATAGAAAAAAATAAGTTCTCATTGTGTACCACAGATTTCTGTTGCTAGTTGGTTCAAATTAGCTGTTTTCGTAAATGAAAAAAACAATAGTGCTGCACCCTGTTGGTAAACCTTATAACGTTTAATGCTATTTATTAATATTATAGAACCAATTTGAGCAGTTGAAACAGATAATACACAGATAATTACAGACTGACAAAATTCTTTAATTCCTTTTAAACACGAATGAATACTCATAAGGTCAACATGGGAAACTCCAGAGCCACTGCGGTGGAGCCCGAAAGGATTTTTGAGATAAAAATATGTCTATATGTTAATTGGGAATGTGAGCAATCATCATACCAAATTTCAACCCTGTCGGTTTAGTATTTCTCGCGTTCACTTGTCGCAAACATCCATCCATCCATCCATACATCCAAACTTCCTCACTTATAATTAGTATGATGATGTCAAATAAAAAAATACAGTAAATTTCACAAAAAATGAACGAATTACTACTACTGTATAATACTTACAATTTTATTCCCTTACCCTTAAAATACTATGACAATTAATTGTTTATAAAGAAAGCGAAAGAAACTTCAATTACTGGTAAGCGAATTCCTGTACAGTATACTGAATATACTCCTGTGTGTGGGAGTACAGCATGTGAATTTGAGATGTATTAGTATAAAATACTATAAATAGAAAATTAACAATAAATTTCACTTTCATGGTCAACACAATTTTGCGTGATGTACGGTGACGGTGGGGTGACGGTTAATGGGTAAGCTACATGACTATAATATTTCCATGGAGGTAGATTATCCTGATCAAATTTAATCCATATTTGAAAAACTATGAAGATTTAGAGAATTTTCCTTGGCCCTTGAGCCTCATTGCGCTATGAATCACCTGGTAAATTTTCGAAGCCATAAACTAGAGTAAATATATTTTGTAACTATCGGTTCACATATTAGTTCAACCACGTTTTTCCACATGTTCGATTTATAAGACAGTTGAATTATTATCACACTCTGCAGTAAACTGACTATGGACGAGCGGGTAAAGCATGGTTCAATGCAATATCGAATCTGAACTCGGTCGAAATTATTTGTTGTTGGACAATAATCTACATTCCTAACAATAGATTTTCTTAGCGGAGTGCAAGGTTTGAAACACAATCGTATACGTAAAGCAAACGTAATAGCAAATACCAGCTGATCGATAGGGGTTACACCAAGTTGGACAGCTGATCACTTTCCCGCCATCAGCATGCACCACGAGCCAGCTGATGTAACTGAGGAAGTAAGAATCCTACTGTAGCCGCTAAAAACTAGATCCGGTCTCCATTTGCGGTGTATACCTGAAGGCATCCTACTAGCTAGATTAAGTGAAAAAGTGAAGCCATTATCAGTCGCCGCCAATTATCTTGTAATCATCACGGGTGCCGGGATTACTTTGCCGAGTTTAATTTCTAAACTCCTGTCCAGTTGGGTTTCTCTTGGAACTGCTTTCTGACAACTTTTTAAATTACTTTTGTATGTTTTTACGCTTGATCCATAATCAAAGAGTTTTGTATGTTACATATCTTTGGTGAGTCGGTGGCTTAGTTGGTAGCGTCACGGACTGTGGGCCCAAGGCAGCGATGACGTGGGTTCGGATCCTGGTCACTGCCACTAAAATTTATCAGTACAGTTTACCTTTGTACTGTACCGGCTTACCCCTTGCTTTGCTGGCTATGTTCCACGCACAGATCTGTAGTCTATGTGGACGGGCAAATGCAAGGTTAAAAGAGGTCGCCAACCTTAATAAAAAAACAAAAAAACTTTTGGATTTTTACCTAACGTGTTTGGGGTTTTATAACATTCCAAGTTTGAGTTAGCGATCAGCAAACTTGTATAAAAAAGAGCATGTTTACAGAAAAATAAAATAAAATATAATATAGGCTACTCTTGGTTTTTGACGATACCATAAATAATTTTCTTCGTGGAAGCTGTGCCACTATTTTTCAAATCTTCATGTCCTCAGATCTGCCTCCTGCTTGCGGCGGCCCGCGGGGAGAACGCAGAAAGTCCTCAAGCCAGAGGTCAGACGAAGCGAGGTGCTATTGGTCTCAGCAGCTACGGCAGCAGTCTTGCTAGCTACGGCAGCAGTCTTGGCAGCTACGGCAGCAGTCTTGGCAGCTACGAGGGTCTCAGCAGCTATGGTGATGTCAGCAGCTATGGTGGTGTCAGCAGCTATGGCGGCAGCGTCAGCAGCCTCAACAGCCTAGACCTCTCCTCTGCCGGCGTCTACCCCTCAGGGGGCCTCGCTCTCGGAGGAGGCCCAGTTAGAGTCTCCGTTTCCTCAGTCCCAGCAACAGTCCGTACCATCAACCAAGCCATCGCTGTTCCCGTTCCACAACCTGTACCTGTCACAGTCACCAGACCCGTAGCTGTTCCAGTGCCGCAACCAGTTCCGGTGTCCGTTCCCCGTCCCGTCCCAGTTGCCGTTCCACAACCTTATCCCGTAACCGTTCCTAAACCCTACCCCGTATCTGTCCCGAGACCAGTTCCTGTCAGAGTTCCTCAACCTGTTCCCGTACCTGTTCCTCAGCCTTATGCCGTCTCTGTACCACAACCTTATCCTGTCACTATTACCAGACATGTTCCAGTACCTGTTCCTGCTCCGGTGACTATTCCCGTTCCCGTATCAGTTCCAGCACCTATCGCACTCCCTGCTCCTGCTCTTGCGTACCCGTCGACTCCAACCTTCTCGCTGTCTTCGGGCCCCTCTCTTACTCTATCCGCTGGGTCTCCTTCACTGTATGGATACGGAGGATATGGCGGCTATGCATCATCCTTCGGACTGGGGTACGGACTTGAAGGCGTCAAACCCCACAAGTTATCGTCCTACCGCTGATTTAAACTAGTCATTGTAAGATATCTGTACATGTTTACTAGAAGACAAGGACTCATCTTCATCATCCACAATCATCATTCATTCATTCATTCTAAATTAATTTACTTTAAGATAATATTTAGTGTAATCGAAACTTCTAAAGCAATAATGATCGCGATGTTCACTACCTACACACCCTAATATGGCTCCATTCACTTGCTCTAAAGTGATAATATGGATTCAAACATCAGTAAAATTGTTTATTGATGCATTCAAATCTAATAAGAATAACATTAACAAACAATCTTAGAGTGTTCCTGTCCCTTCTACATAAATGTTTAATGATCAGACACCCTGCTGTCTCGGTAAATCAACATATAACAAACGATTTTGTTTTACACTATCAACTTAAAAACTGCATGGGATTTAGTGGTTACAATTTGAATGTTTTTACTTTAAATACTATATTTTCATAACCACTTAAATTAACCATACGATACATTTTTTTGTTTACAGATCGGGGGAGTATTTGTACAAGTACAAGACGTCTGTTCGTGTGAAGGACTCGCCCTGGATACCAATAGTGCCACCTAGACCACCCAAAAAAGTGTCTTCTTCACTAGGTTATATACCAATATATAAAGAATGTGTTCATTGATAGTCAATTTCCATAGGTTATTTTGTGCATATTGTATAGGTTTCATAATAAATTTATTTTTTGTAAAATGTTCTTATTTCATATCCATACTTTGCAGCGGTACCGTCTACCACACTTTAAAAGGTAACTCAACGAACTGGTAAGATATTGTGTTAAAACAGAACATGAGGAATTAAGAATAGGCAAATATAAAAAATTTATTTCTAATATCCATTCAAGTGACTCAAATATGTGGAAAGCAACTAAACGCGAAAACGCCCTTTAAATACTTATATTCGATTCCTACCTTAAAACGACAACATAATCTGTGAGACTGATTCCCAGTAGTGTGAACTGTTGGCATACTTTTATGAAGCTACATTTCAACCCTTGCTGATTATAGTGACCATGAGATGGTAAACGAGACTTTGAATGGGACATTTTTATCTGCCGAATTTCCTATAAAATTTGCCTGCGCCAATCTGAAGTCAAGGAAGTTATCAGAAAACTTAATCTTCGTAAATCAACTGGCCATGCTTATTCCGAATATTATGTTCTGTTAAAATATGTTCTTCAAAATCAACCATTCAACAGATCAATGCCTAGGTGTTCCACAAGGTTCAATATTGGGCCCTGTATTATTCAATCTGTACATATGGCGGAGATACTCTCCAGAAGACGCCTCATTAAACTCTGTACGCTGATGACACAGCTTATCCTGTGCCAACATTCTGATGTCTACGAGGCTACACATTCTCTACAATACTCTATAGACATTCTCGTTGATTGGTTCTTTAAGTGGAACCTTCGTCTAAATTCGACCAAATGCTAGACAAAAATAGTTTCCTTAAAAGAGCATGCATTGCCTCATGAAATGTATGGTAACTTTTCTACCGTGAAACCCTGATGACCAGACCATTCAATACCTTGGTGTATGGCTGGATAAGAAACTAAATTGGAATTTCCATGTAAACGAAAAACTTTCCCAAGGTATGCACGCGCCTTGCAAAGCTTTTTCCTGTGATCAATAGAAAATCTACTCTAAAACCAGCTTGTACAATTTTAATCTATAAATAATTATTTTGACCGTTAATAACATATGCATCAACTATCTGGGAATTAGCTATTTATAAAATAAACTGTTCAAAATTCAAGTAATCCAAAATAAAATTCTTAGAATAGCAGTGAATGATCCTTGGTTCGTTAGAAACAACTACATACACGAAGAGTTTGGAATATAGTCTGTCTTGACTCTCGGCCTTCATTGAAAAATCCACCTTCAAATTTCTAACATCTCTAGACAATGTTCCTGGAGCACTGGCATTCAATCTTGGCGGAACAACAGAAAATAGAAGATTGCGCCGAAGGCTTCCTAAGACTTAAGTTGGACGAAGCCTAAAGAAAATTGAACATGTGACCTGCACCTAAATTTACTATGTTACAGGGTGTCTCAAGTTTGAGCGAACCCACAATGCTATTTATATTATTTTATTTTGTTAAAACTTCTGTGAATAATGTAATATTGAACCAGAAATAAAATGTTGATCCATACTTTGTGTGAGAGTATCCAAAAAGTAAAATAAAAGTACTGTTTCACATTGCCACCTGTATGATAAAAAAAGTATATATATATTTTATTATCAATTATTTTATTATTTTATGTATCAATTAAAAATTAAATTATTTTGTATTACTGAAGTTATATTAAACGATGGAGCCATTGGCAGTTTACTTTTTTAGTTAATTAATTACAATTTCTTTTAAAATCGACATTCAAAACCATGACCAATTAAACCATGTCAAATGGTAACTTTGAGTACGTTGTACTTTAATTTTATTGAGAATCATTTTCTGTGAAAAAAATGTTTTCAGTAGGTACCAGTTAGTTTTTCTAACAAATGTAATGAAAGTTATTCAGTATTTTCTGAATATCACGTAAAATTTAAAACAGTAGGCCCTAATCAATAATACTGTACTTCGGGCTTTTGGACATGAATCAAATTTTGCAAGTGCAAGAGAAGACTCCGTTGCAAAATTTTACACGAATTGTTATGTCATTTTTATTTATGGTAAATAGTGTCGACTAAATGTGTTCCTTCTGTTTTATTTTTGGAAACATTTTACAATTTGTGCGATACTGTTTGGTTACATTACACAAATGGAAGTATACTTTATAGTTCAATAGTTTATTTTTGGTTGAAATAGTTTCAAAGTTAGTCAAATAACCGTACAATATAACAAGAATCAAACAAATAGTAAACGACAACAAATTGAACAAATAGAACACAGAACTATTCTTAAAAAATATTTCTTCTCTTTAGCTGATCCCTTGATGGAGATACTAATGATGATCTGTATTGTTGAAGATATTATCTTTGTTTAATTCAGGTTAATTTTACTATTTAGATAGTTCGATTTAGTAAGCAATCTGAGAAATAATCAACGTTTTCAATTCATTTAGTATTTGAATAAAGTGTTTGGATGGCTTTGAAAACAGAACAACAGCTGCTGTTAGGCAAGAGTAAGTAAAACATTGAGATGAAGATGACACAAAATTTCCGTTACAAATATAAACATAACCAAAACCGTCCAGTCCAGGCGTCCGTCGATACATCTTGGTCCGTCCCGTCCAATCCAAACCACAGGCTTAGGTAAATTTAACTAATTCGTAGTGATAATTAATTAGTTTAGCCTAATCTTAAATTAGGGTTACGTTCGACCACAATAATAAGGCTACTCTATTTTCTGTGTTGTAAACGATTGGTGTAGGCCTAGGTAGGCCGATATTGATTGCATGTATCTTTTTGATTACCTTGCTCTACTATTTATTGACATGATGTAGGCCTATTGCATTTTATGTAGGCTAGACTATATAACTAGACTATGTTTAGTGATCAAATCTAAATATCTAAAATTTTCTGGTTAAGCTTACTAACTTAGGCAATTGGCACGATTTAATCAAACACCTAGAATTCAATGTGCTAATTTAGTTAGTAGGACTGTTGTTGGGCCTAAACAGTAAACACCAAACATACGGGAACGAAGCCAAGAGTTTTATGTTTTATGGACTCAATTTAAACAAATTTAACCTTTAAGTTTACCTTACATAACTTGCCAAGAAGGATAGACCTAACTTTAACCATCTACAATTTTGTAAGCACGTTTAACTTACATTAAGTTAAATGAATTAAAATGACATGTTAGCGAATTTCCCATAAGTTATAGAGAATAAGCTATTACCGTAGTACTCATGGTAAGACCTGGACCCGGGACCGATTTACTTTTTCATTTTGAGATTCAAGATTCAAGAGATTTATTGTACTGTAGGATTTATTGTACTACCATTAAGTAATAAATACAATAGGTAACGTCAAAAACTATGCTAAAAATAAACAAACCAATGCATATAAATAATGAAATGTTCACCATTACAAACCATGCTGAAATTAGTTAATCTTCACAGCAAACCATGCAGTTATGGCAAAAAACAAAAGAAAATGAAAATTGTGACACATAACTTATTAGGCCTACCTGAGTATAAAAATAAAAATTACAAATTAAAACAATGGCCAGCCTTCAGAGCATCATAAAATTCAACAGATTCATAAAAAGGATTCGTTTCGAGCCAATCTTTTAAAATTTTTGTAAATTTTGACTTCCGCAATGACCGAACACTTTCCGGGAGAGCATTGTAAAACTTTATGCCTCTAACAGGAAAACAGTTTATTAGTTTTACTCAATCTATTGCTACTTAAATGTACATTGTTTCTATTTCTTGTGAGATATGAGTGGACATCCTTGTTACAAACAAGATCTTCTTCCATGTCCTTAATAGCTAACAAAGATTGATAAATATAGACATTTACGACAGTCATAATGCGAAGTTCAGCGAACAAATGCCTACAATGCTCCAGATAGTGAACCTGACATATTACTCGGATTGCCTTTTTTTGATGGAGCAGTACTTTCTGAACATGCGGGGAGTGACCCCACAGGAGTGTGCCATATACAATATGGGCCTGGAAAAAAGAAAAGAAAGCACGTCTCAGAAAGTTAAAAGGTAGTTCAGAGGTCAACTTCCTCTAAAGATGTCTTACTCTACTTAATTTTACACAAAGTGCATCTATGTGGTCATCCCACTCAAGCTCCGAATCCAGAGTGAAACCCAGCAGTCTTACAGACTCATCACTGGAAACATTTTTATTAAGGCTAAACATGATTTCAATGAACAATGATTAAAATCATTGTATTCATTTCTTGAGTTTTGGCCGCATTCAAGGCCAATTTATTTCCATCAAACCATTGAAGACGTTTCATTTAACAATGAGCTAGCAGAATTTTTTGCCATAATATGATCAATAGGCTATGTGTAGCAAAAAATAGTGGTATCATCTGCGTAGGCCTACATCACTATGTACCGTAATTAATACAAGTCATTCATGGCAACAATGAATAAGAAGGGACCAAGGACTGAGGTCCCCAGAGGCCAAAAACACCATCTGTTCAAATTCATATAGGCCTAGGCTATTTTATATAGTTTGATTACCTCAGCAATATTGTGCCGGAATCCCACCATTGATTTTGCGCTTCCAAAGACTTCACCCTTTTGATCAATGGGGTTGGGACTTCGGTTACACCATTAAGTTAGGCCTAGGCCTAAATGAAATAAGGTAGGCTCTCACAAATTTGTTCAATAGATGTCAACTTAATCTAATAAAATTTTAAAAGGTAATTTATGAATAGTAAATAATCTTGATTTATTTGCAGTGGAATGTCTGAATCAAGCTCCATTGAGTTAGGTGCTAAAACACCAGAAAAATGGAAACGGCCAGAAGATGTTATGAAGTTACACCGGCTGAGAATGAAAAAGAAGGCGCTACAAGCACGAATGAATAGATCGGATATCCCGCAACCCTCTCCAGTGTTAAACACATCCGTGGACTCTGCAATAACCAAGCGTAAAAATCCTTTCAGGTAGGCTACATTTTGATAATAAGTTATTTTAGTGATATTGCAAAAACTGCCCATTAAATCAAAATTCATTACTTAACTTATGTAGGCCTACTGGAATAAAAAACAAACTCATTACAAGATTTAAAAAAAACTGTTAATCTAAAATTTACCGGTTTGAAATTAACCTTTTACGTAGGGAAAGTTAGGGTACCGGTACCGTACCTAACCAAATGGTTATAGGCCTATTGCTTGCATTGAAATCTGAAGGTCGGTGGCTTGTTTCCAAACAAGATTGTTTCCAGACCCAGATGCCATTTGTTATTTTGTTATGAATTAATAATGCCATTCAACCAAAATGTCAACGTAATGTTAGATAATAACTAGATCAAAGGGTTTGGACCGTTCCCTTTCAAAACATAAAATGCTATTGGCGTAGAAATTACACAACTCACAAAAACTGAGGTTATTAATAATGTGCCAAGTTAGTGATTAATTTTTTAATGATAACCTAAACAATAGGCTACCTACTGTAGGCTACCAGTACAAATTCTGTTTGTAGTATTCTATGCTACAAACAAATCAAGATTCTTTAAATTTGAACATTTACTGGTAATCTCTATTAGGCCTACCTATTCATTAGCATCCCCCCCTTTAAACCAATAATGGAGGGATTATTTACTGCCTATTTTATCACTATTGCTATCACCTAGCTTATATGAAAAGCTCAATCTTTACCAGTTTTTATTGAATTGTTACTTAAGTTGTCTGTTACGCTCTCAGTTCTGGACCTTAAGTTATGTGGACATTTTACAAATTAGTCCTCTTTTACCTTATGATTCATGTTGTTTCAAATTGTTTAATGCCAATCATTGAGGCTTACACTGTGTGAATTCTGCCATTAAAATAATAATGAATAATATAAACGTTTTTCTTTTTAGATCCAATGAAAGCGGATTAAGTGCAAACTTAAAGAAGGTGCGGACAACTGACGAAGATGAACATTCTAACGACGGCACTCTTTTCAAATTGTTGAACATAACAGAGCCTGAGAAAGACGTACCGCTAAACTTTACGAACATTCTTAGCCGAATTTCAAGCCCAGCTGGGCCTAAAGTGAGTTTAAGAAATATAATTTGCAGTAGCCTAGTTTAAATTCAGATAAATCTATCGAACTAGCCCACACTTATGAAGTGGAGTCTATTTTCGTCAAGAATCAACCGATTGATGGTAGGTAGGCTACATTCATTGAAAAATTTCCAAACATAGCTGATCCTAGTAGTTGTAGTTAACTTTTATTACAATAGGAAGGCAAAGTGTTCCTATAATTTCGGATTAAGAAGAGAAACAAAAATAATTTCTAGGTTAGGTTTTAAGTCACACGTTTTTTTTTTAACTCATCAAAATAAATTTTCCGTAGCTGAACGTGGTACTGCGAGAGGGAACCAAGGAACCTCCTGTTGACTGGACGCTGAGGACCAAAGTACGATTTATGGCTCAGAAACCGTTTCCTTGGAACACAACATTAAGGACTTGTGAAGAAGCATCTGGTATCACTGGGTAAGAAGCTCCAGTTTCCTCCAGGGAAAGTATTTTTAGAGCTAATTTGATTGACTAGTTTTTCTATTGACCTTTTAAATGAAGGCGGGACATATTCATAATTCATAGGCTATCAGATGGTTTGTATTTCACTTGATATATTTTTTATAAATAATACTTTCATCAATTTGTACATTAAAATTATTAGGCAGGTCTTACAAGAGTGCTTGTCTGTAGGTTAAGTCCAATCTTTGTGTATTGACCCACTTTGAAGTAGGCTAGATATAAAATTCCACTTACATTTAACTGCATATTTATAGAGTCTTTGGACTAAACATTTCTCTACGTACGGTAACCAAGTATGGCTCCATTGTTGACTTTTTAGTAAGATCTACTACTTCATGTCCCTATTAAATTAACTATCTGATTTGAACAACTTAAAAATAATGTTATTACATTTGGATAATCTATAACAGTCTCACATGAAAGCTATTTGAGTAAAATACTGGCTACAACTAATGACCTTTGTAGGCCTAACTCAGGTGTTTGTTTCAGGTTCGTCAGGTGTGTGGACAGCACTAACAGCAGCTTGGATACAAGTCCCAACGCGCAGTTCCACCAATGCTGCCTTGTCTGGCAACACCCGGTATGTAATTTTTGGGAAAAATAATCATGCATGTCACTCAAATCACACACACACGATCTTCTTCAATTATTGAAATGGAAGAGATTTTCGTTCAACCATCCACCCTACAGTCCAGAACTGATTTAGATTGACTTGAACTTATTTTGTGTACCAAAATGAAGACTAGGTTACATGCTTTAATTGTGACATGGAGCTCCAACTGCGTCTCACCAGGTGGCTGAGCTTGTTGGTGGCGGAGTTTGACAAAGAAATTTCAAAGCTCTTCCACTGCTAAGATAAATGCCTCAATTCGTTCTGCAGATATGTAGGATAACTGGTACTTTAGTTGAACTTTCAAATGTAGACCTATATATATAGACCTATATAGCCTAAAAACAATTTTATCTCAGCGTTCAAACTTGTTATTTTATTCCAAAAGTCATTATTTCCTGAACAGCCCTCATACTTTACTAAAATTCTACTCTTGTACGAGATTAAGAACTGATTGTTAATGATTTAAATTTTTGACTTAAACTTCCAAGCAACCAAATCCCCCAATTAATCAAAAGGTATTGTTTGTGTGAAGGTGTTGCCGTGGCTGGAGTTGTACCCTAGACAATCCACTAGGACGGCTGGAGCAGCTCAGTCTGCGCCTCACATCATATCTCACCCTGCTGTACGAGACAGTCTGCAGAGGCACTGGGCCGACAGCTTCCGATCACTTTATCAGGTATGATGGTCAGCGTGCTAGCAATAATCTGGTATCTAAAAATATTCTTACCAGGTTCTTGGCCACCGATGGGAGAAATCATTCTTATTCTGCTTACATTTTAAATTCTATCCTGAAAACACTTTTCCTTCTACAGACAGTCCAACTTTTGAGTCTCGCTTTTGCATTGTTTTTCTCTGGTGTGAGTGAATCCAGTGCAGAGGAATTATTGGTTGGGAATACCATGGATTCTTTTAAAATGTAGCCTAATGAGTTAACATCTTAGTTCTTTGTTTGTCTTCCATGTGAGATCCATTTTTGTTTCTCTCAAATGTTTTAAAATAAATTAGTTGAACATATGAGAACGTCTTAGGATAAAATAAGTTTAGCTAGGTAAGCACCTTTTAGTCGAACTAGAAAGGCTAGGGACAAAGCCCAGTAATATAAGGGCTTGCAAAGTTGAGTAATATATAATAAAAAATAAAAAAATAAAATACAAGTGTGATATGCAGAAAACCCCCTCACTCTTCATAGGTTATCCTGCATACGCACATGGGAGTGTAGCTTTATAGCAAACCCGAATCTTTAAACTTATTCTACTTTATGCTATGAGCTGGGTAGCTGTTCAATAAGAGAACCAGATCGCGTTCATTAAACAGGATTTTAATTGTCTTTAAGTATTTAAGTTTAATACAGTGACAGTTACTTTCAAGTATAGCCTACTAACAAATGCCTGGTAGGAACCGCTCTGGAGGCAGCTTGAATCTTGAATTTATAATCCCCAAAAACGAAACGAAACTATTCCCTTGTAATCTAATCAAACCAAAGTATCTCATCCCAATTAACTTACAGTCCCCTTAAATCAAAACTTCCCGTACAAAACTCCCGACTACAGGGCCTAATCCCAAGATAGAGAAACCAGTACTCACCCAACTCTCCTGGGCACCTTGCCCCGGGCAACTGACCCCTTTCTCTACCTCAGGTGGCCTATTTATTGACCCGACAGCTACTGAGTGCAAAGCACCCAGTGTTTACCAAAACACCTCCAGCACGCTTCCTAGTTGGCAAGGTCACTTCCTATCTACAATTCAACCTCTACAACCTCTAGTTTACATATATCTACAAATATAAAACCTATATCTCCCTTACACAAGTCATCAGTTTATCAGTTGCTTTAAACACAAACACTAATAACGTTACTTGTTAGATGTTGTTTTCTAAAATTATTTCTGACAAGTTGAGCAAAATTTTCAATTTCAAACACATTACAGGTACTTTTGAACATTAAAGAAACTAAGAACTATTTTAAGTGTGTACATTTTAAAACTTATCTACCTGATATTATTAAAAGTAACACAATTATACACTAAATGGTGTACAAGGTTAAAATTAGAAAGCTATTTATTGTTCAACTTAGTTAACGTCAACCAAGAACAGATTTAGAAAAATTTGTTATAGCATAACCTAATTTGGTTATGAAAGCCAATTTGGTGATTAGAACCAGTACGGATACTTTATCTTTGATTTACTTGCCGCAAATGTTGCATGTGTTTGTATGTTTGTAGTTGCTAAGAGCTCGCCAATGCCCCTACTTCTACTTTGTCACCAACTCCTTCAGCTGTTTGTTCCGGGCTGCAGGAGTTTGTGGCTTCCCTCACACCCATGTTCTCATAACCCCCACCACCAGGGGATTCAGGAAATCACTCTCTGATCAAGGTAGGCCTATGTCTTAGCTTAAGAAACAAACGTAACATAGTTTGCTGTTTACTTTTTAGTTTTTTTTTCAACAATCGCGAATGGAATAGTTTTAGTTGTCTGCTTGAGATTCTTTGCAAATTTTGTAAGTTGGTGTTTTTTAGTGAATTTACCAATATAGTGCTATAGTATCTATTACCGTAGGTGGCACGGTAAGACCTAGGCCCTATATAGGTGTTATATAAGAGTCCGTGTTCGAACGCAATAACTTGAGTAATTTTTGTCCGATTTTAATTAAATTTGGTTTGAAAGTGTAAGGTGGGATAAAATTGGATGAGTTCGCGAACCAGCCTGACCGGACTATGGGACCGTATTTATTTTATACGAAGCTATTTATATTTTGTATAAAAAAAAACACTATTAGTTTCCCTGTAGCAGCAAACATAGGTACTCGTTAAACCTATGTTATTTATTAAATAGATTTAATTAATCAATTCAGGCAAATGGAAATTCGCTTAGACGGCAGGTTTGCTGTGGCGGGGGTGGGGGGGGAGGGTATTTACAAGTTTACATTCTTACACCCCTATGTTTCTGCATTATCATTCTAAACCAAGAGTAGACTAACACACAAAATTTCCTGTGTGGAAAGTTGATTTATTTACATAGGCGTATTTATTCCCTATGGTAAAAGAACTAAGTTAATACTGTACATAAAATTTGAAATTAGAAAAAAATAGTAGACTCAAAACCAACTGTTAGCTAAAGAATAATTAAAGCTATTTTACCATTTTAAACTTAGTTTTACGTTAAAGCTATTCACTTTATTAAAAACCATAGGCTAATTGTGAAGTTTTATACCCGGTTATGTGATTTTAGCTAAGGCTTCAATACTTACTTTCCGTGTCCGGAAATCAGACTTTGCTTTTCCAAAAATTAGCTACCAAGCTGGCTTTGTCATTCGCATGTAAAAGATCATCTAATGTGCAAGACTGGTCTAGGCGTGGGCAGATCAGCAGATGGCCAGGATCCTGAACAGCACCACACGCGCACAAGATGTTTTCTTCGTCTGGTAAGAGCCCCATTTCTGCATGTTTGTCTTGCATTTTGGTACCTCGACCCTAATTCGATTTAGGGTCTTCCACACCGTGTAATGAAGGCCTCCACCAGGAGCCAGTTCCTCCCTGGCTGGTATGGGAGGGTTAGTCAACGTGGCCTCCCACCTTGCCACCCGATTGCTTGAGAGTGATCCATCCAGGACTCGTGTCCGTGATAAAAAGCTCTTTCTGGACCGAAGCCGTCGCTCTGCAGGTTGGTGGCCGTGTAATGGGTGACGAGGGTCTGTCTCTTGCTTAGTCCTCTCTGCGTCGGCAGCGACATCACGTCGGATTGATGGAGGGGCGATCCCTATGATAGGATAGAGTTTGTGTACTGGGGTTGGTTTCAAACACCCAGTTACAATCCGAGCCATGTCATTGACTGCAATGTCAACCTTTTTTGCATGTGACGATGCATTCCATACTGGAATGCCCCAGCATCTGCTGGTGAGCTTCCTGATAATATTATTCCTCGCTGAGACTCTACCTCTTGTCGCAATACAATGCGCCTTAAATGTCAGTGTACGGTCCAGTATGACACCAAGGTATTTGGGTGTAGGACAATGCTGAAGACGGTCTCTCCGCCACCTCACATTCAACTCACGGCCTGCTTCTCTATTGTTAAGGTGAAAGGCACAAACTTGGGTCTTAGCAGGGTTCGGCTTGAGGTGATTTGCGTCATAGTATTGGGAAAGTTCATTTAGAGTCATAGTCAGCTTCTGTTCGACCTCTTCAAAACTCCTACCTTGTGCCGCCACCGCCGTATCATCGGCATATATATACTGACGTGTAGTGTTTGGCAACGGTTGGTCGTTAGTGTAAATGTTATAAAGAGCTGGGGCTAAGACGCTACCCTGAGGCAATCCATTTCTTTGATTCCTCTATCTACTTTTCTTGCCTTTGAGGGACACGAAAAACCGCCTGTTATGAAGAAAAGTGCCTATCATTGAAGTCAGCTGATAGTCTTTGGTAATACTGTACACTTTTCCCAAGACAGGCTTCAATAGAGATCAGACTAAAAGGAGTTTATTATTAAGTATGTTGTATATGTTTAAGGGCATTTTTTCAATCTCAGCTCAGTTTAAATGCAAGCAAGGAAACGACAGAAATAGGGCAGCATAGATGACGGTGCAACCTCTGCACTGCATGACATTGGCAACCTTAAGCTCTGTCAATGTTGTATGACAGCCATATAAAGACACCTCTACCGTCATTGATTTTCCTGCCATGTGTGATTGGAGAAGAGTTATTTTTTTCTGCAAGGAGAGGGGGTAGCAGAAATCAATCTCGACGAGTTGAGTGTATAGAGAAAAAAAAACTGTACAACTGATAGATTTGTTGTTGCTGATAGAGTTTTAAAAATTGCTGAAATCCTGAAATTGAAAGGTGTATAACATAATGATAAAGGCGTTCTTATCATATTGATTGTTATCAGCCTTCTTAGTAAGTATGTGAATATTGCCCCTTTGCACCAACAGTGTTTTTGTTCACACTTTTCACATTTCAGAGATTGAATTCCGTATGCCACTGAAGCCCCAGGATAAGTCAGCTGATGACGACACTGGCTACGAGACCCTGGACGCCTCAAGGAGTCCGGAGGGTGGAGCATTGAGTACAACCGTAGTACCGGATGAAGCTGATGAGGAAGACGGGGAAGAGGCGGAGCAGTGGCTCCAGAGCATGGGAGTGGATTCTGCGGAAATCAAGAGGATTAGTAGCGTGCAGGTAATAAAATGATTCTGATTCTATATTCACCAAACAAAAGTGTGTTCAAAATACAGCTTCTAGTTGTTTTTGGCACAACTGGTTAAGTGTCGAGAGTTTATTTGAATGTCCCACCTTTACCTCATACGACGCTAGGCTATAGTTTGAAACGGTTACACATTACTTCAGGATAAGCTTCGAGGGTCTTGGCATTATCACTTAGATAAAATCAAAATCTATTGATCAAAATCAAATCTATGGATATTGGCAGGATTTGAACCTGAGATCTTACACACTGAAGTCCCACATTCTACCACTAGACCAGCTTGATCCCCGTAGTGTTGAAGGAAGGGACTTTCATGGAAGCCTGGATTGAGTCAAAATATTTACCATAGTCTGTTCAAGTAAAGAAGACGGTCGAGGATGTGGCCTACCCATGCATACGGACCTTGTTCATTGGCTGCAGGTAGGCCTCGTCCCCCGACTGCCTCTGATATTTGAAACTAACTAAACCTGGTGGTTCGAAACCCGTCTAAAGCAGTAGGTCCAAATACAAGAAGAGGGTCTGAAGCAAACTGTTTGCGTTGATGATAACCATTCTTAATATCCCACACAATAAATTTGGTGGCTTTTAATTTGATGTTAAGTGTACAATAATTTAAGTGTGATGTGTACTGAACTGTGTATGTGTTAGTTGAAAAAGTTTTATATTTAAAGTAAGAATAGGCCTAATGACTAACACCACGAGGGTACCGTACCAATCAAATTTTTATTTAAGGACAGTCACTGAAACTGTATTAAAAGGAACTAAAAGTATGTTTTGTTTAGTTTAAGAATGAATGTTGTTTTGCATAGTTATGTTGTAAACCCTTTTTCCTCAAGGTAGGTGTAAAAATTCTGCAAAACCAATATTTTTAAATATGCGATAATGCCATGATTCGTTGATTCATTGTTTTAAGATGCAACTTTTCAATAAAGGTGTTCTGGTTTTTATAAATTTTAAAACACGTTTCTCACTTCATCATATTGTTAATTTATTCTCATTTCTACAAACTCAAATGAATGTCTCATGACAATTGTACTGTTTGCAGGCAGATGCAGATCTAGGCAAGGAGAAGAAGGTTGACCGCACTCCAGAGTCGCTGGTGCTGATAGAAGACACGGAGGCGCACGTGTTGTTCAACATGCTGCTCAACTGTAAGTCTACCATCCCCACCACAGGGCCCTTGGCTGGGGTACCTCCCACACTGCTGGCCCCTGTCGCCTTCCAGGGGGCGACACTGAGGCCTCTCAAGGTACTAGACATATTCCATTCCCTTAAGTTGTTGCTGAGGAATAAAAATGATTGTAAAAAAATTGACTTGAACCATTCAAAGACTGTGCTGGAGTATAAATTACTATTTTGTACCTTGTTTTTTACTTTCAGTTATACCAGAGATAGTTGGTGTACAATAAAATAGGCTTTAGTCCACAATAAGACTTCCTATCAGTATGGCATGGTTTGAAAGTTGACTTATAAAAAGCACTGTATGATCTTCTTACTGTAGGCATTCGTGACCGTTTTCATGAGAGTTTATGGCGGTGATTTTGGCATCATCCACATCGTCACTGATGCACTGTTGCTAGACGTTTCGTGAAAGTTAGATACAAGAACTAACAATGTCAATTAATGGGTAATTTTTGAAGGGAAAAAGAAACTTGTATTTAAGAACTTTTCAAGGGTAAAAGAATGATAAACACCTAACTCACCCGAATAAAGAGTCCCAGGAAGTTGAAAAAAATATGTTACTTTTTTGTATTCATATAACTTCTGGGATTTTCTTCAGGTGAGTTCGATGTGTATCCTTCTTTTCTCCTTTATAATGCCAATTAAATCATTTGATAAAAGACAATAATGAGTTTGATTTTAATCCTGTCAACTTCCATCCAAACCGAACTCTATTTAAGGTGGGCCCTACCTCCAGCTATGTCACACACTAACAAGCTTAATATAGATTGAACTTGGGAATTGAATCCGCACACGTAGAAAGACTTTAGAGCTACGTTTTTCAGTGTAATGTCTTAACCAGCTTAACCACCGTCTCACGGTTGGGACCAGGATTGACTGAATGTAACAACAGCACTCTCCGGTTGGATTTGACAAACAACTCAAGCACCTGGGCTGTATTGCTACTGTCACTGAAAAGTGCCATGACAAGCTACACTCTTAACATGGCCTAAATGGGTTAACGGAAGCACGTCTCCACATTTAACTCAAAACCATTAGAATGATTAGTATGTGTTTACACTGAAAATTTTTTTTTAGGTTAGAGAAAGCAAAGTGCAGGTCGGAGGTGACAGCTACTACTCTATGGAGATGAGAGGCCCTATTTTACCCACCACTGTGCAGCAACTCTGCGAACTGCTTCACTCCAGCTTGGACCAGTTCTCAATCACTTTGGCCAGCCATGAGACCACAAAGGGGTTCACACTCAGCGGCCATTACACAACCAGTAAGTTGCTTAGTAAACATAAAGGAACCGTACTGAATCCATAGAGATCAAATTTCTCATTTAAAAATAACACTGTGGATAAAAAATAATACCGTTTTTTAAAGAATCGTTTCAAATATCAAGAAGTTTATACAAGATATTGATTAAAGACATTTAGAACCGTCTTCCACGATTGCGACAAAAAATTAAACATCTCCTGCAGTTGTAAGACAACATCTTACTGCAACTGCGGCAAAATCTTGAACATCTTCCAGGTCTTGTAGACATCATTGTCCACCGCAATCATAGCGAAACCGTTAAATTTTTTACTGTGAAATCTTCCCAGACTCGTTCTGCGATCAAGATACTGAAAGCTTGGCATTTGCTGGATTTTTTTACTCGGGCTTTAAGCTAGGTTCTGCTCTCCCTGAAACTCAAGCACCTCTGACACTACTAAGTAACGTAGAAGACTTGTAGTCTGTGCAATATAATTTTGCTTTATTTTTACTATGCATACAATACCAAAAATGAAGTACTGTAGGTTATTTCTTGCTTTGCACTATATAATGTTTGGTGGTCTTAAGCTTACAAATCCAGATTAAGACAAGTTTATCAGTGTTTTAAAGAGGTTGGCAGACTCCTTAATTTGTGCGTATCCAGGAAAGCAAGGGGTAAACATATTCAGTTCAAGAGTGAACTGTACGGAAAAAATGTAGTGAGAGACTTTGAATATGATGGTTTAAATACCTTCAGTCACCAGTTCAACATCAGTCGACTACTGCGGCCTAGGTTTCGGCACAAAGTTGTGCCATCATCAGGGGGGACAGTTTGAAATTTTCAGTCCAATGGCTTCGTTAGGTTGAAAATACTAACAGTTCACAGATGACATATACATTTATCGAACGGTACCGGTATTTACAGAGAGACTTTGGCATTCCAACCTACAACATTACCAATTACTACGGTTCCGGAGTACTGCGCAACTGACTGATTTTCCAATCCACCACCTGCTAATCCCACTATTGTGTTTCAGTTAGTAATTCTACCACAGACAAAGAGAACGCAGAAGATTGCAGCAGCAACTCAGCTTTCCGTCAGGAAGGCCTCAGTGACTGCGGACAATCTGCAGATGTGCTGCGGAGATTCTGCAGCAACAACGGGAAATGCCTGCAGCAATTTGATAGTCTTAAGTATTCGGACAATATTTACTCTTGGACATGATCAAATCATGTTACCTTGTGTAAATAGATAATATTTAAGTTTGTATAAAGAATTTAATCTTTGAGACTGTTTTAAACATTAAGCTTAGTGTTTTATAGTTATTTTTTAACAGTTGTAATTTTTTGACAACAGTTACTGTGTGATACATTAACGTCAGCTGTAAAATATGCACTTTGTGCAATTTTTTGAAATCATTTTTTTATTGACTTGCAAGTCAAACTTTATTGGCTGACGATAATTTTTAATTATTTATCATTGCCAGTTTTAACTTGCTTGACTGAGGTTTTAACTCGTATTTAAATATAAGTAAATTGTGATCATGGTATAGATAACCATTTGTACAAAGAAAGATAATAAAAAATCATATTTTACCTAAACTGAATTTTTATATCCTTTCAATGAAGAATAAATCTCAAATAATTTTACTACCAAAGTAATATTACAGTCTGTGTTCTTCTCCTGATTTTTGCATTGTAGCGCTGAACAATTTTTGTCAAGGTTTTAAACGATTTATTTTCCATGATAAAATTATTATATTTTTCTAGATGAGTGGTACATTTGGAAGTTTTATTAATTTCATTTATACGTTAAATAATAAAGTGGTGACCTAATACTTCGAATAGGTAATCCAAACGTTAGCCATAGCATTATGACAGCAGGAGCCCTGTATGCAGGAAGTAGATTGTATAAGAATAATTTTTGATTGAGGACTTTTTTGTGGTGTTTGATGTTTTTCATGATTTCTGAATGTGGGTCTGTCACTCAACACAAACAATTGAAATATTTTGGTCCAATCACCAATTTTATAATATTTTTCCATGCATTTTGAAGAGGCAGCACACTTTAAAAGCCTGCTATTAGATTTATATTTACAACTACAGTTAGAAGTGAGTTTTGAGCCCAGAACAAGTAGGTACCAACAGAAAAACAATCACTTAATAGACAGCTTGTTACACAGGGCAGTAAGTCAACAAAACAACATAACAAGTGACCATAAAAACCATGCAGGTACCACCTAATGCGTAATATGGCTATCAAAGTATCAGTCGTTAAAACCATAGATAAAACTTAGTCTATGTTAAAACTTACGGACATCACTTGCTCTTCTGGGTAAAAGTAAAACGAGGCAATTTTTTACACACCATTTACAGAGGAAAGTCGTAAAAAAAAACAAAAAAAATTCTTTGCACGATGAATGCATGGGTGTCACTGGTTTGTACTGATTATTACATTCCTTGCTGTTTGAATCACTTACATTTTTCACACATATTAATGCTTAAGAGTCGGCAGGACCGCAGGCCATCTTGGATTTTCTGCCTATAGGTAAAGGCAATGTTAATGGTTGAGATAGTGATGGGATAATCGAATAATTTTGAGAATTCAAATACATGTGTTCGAATACTTAGATTTATTCGAATAATTATTCAAATACTTTTATAGCAACATGGTGTAAATTAACCAATATGGCAATTTCAATTTTCCCAAGTCTAGTTTTGTAAATAAATTGTTGCCATTCATGTATAAATACATTTAAATGAAAATAAATGTAGTTCAGTTCTCCTCTTACATAAATAGGTTATATTATTTCAAACTAACTAAAACCCAAATTAAATAGATTATTTTTCACTCTCATTCTGGTAATGAATCATTTAATATTGTGAAATAACTAGTCAAAAGTATTCATTATATTCATTATAGATTTAGTGAGAAGTGAATTTCAATTTTAAAACAGTGTGATTCATTATTTCATTGAAATTTTTTATATAATAATTAATAAATGCTGGTAGTGTACAAATTTAACATTTTAATAAGACAATTAATTGATCCCTCCTGAGTCGGGTACAGTGAAGATTCCATTCCAAGTAAGGAAGTAAGTAAACTTATAAGTTGTTGTTCTGAATTAAGCAAAGGTATTCATAACACTATTATTCAGTGTATTCCAACTCGGAACACTTCGGCCAAAATCGAATTCATTCATTCTGGCTATTCAAACTAGATTGGCTTCAAAGTATTATTGAATCCGGCCGAATGTCATTATTCGAATACAGCCAGAAGTATTCAAATCTTTGCTAAGCTATTGAAACCGCAGAAGTGATTTGCTATCTACTTTTTAATTTTAATTGTTATTATTTTGTCAAACTACATAAATATATTGACTTGAACTGTGATTTTTTCAACCTCAAAAACAAAAGTTTATAAATCTGAAAAGCAATTCACAAGGAAAATATATTTAAGAATTACATAACATGTTCTGCTCGGTAATCAAGCTTACAATGCATGATTAAAGATTGCTTCAACGTGAACGCATGATTTTGCTGATCAGCGCTAGGACAACCATTGTGTAGCCTGCATCTGATGGTCAACAACAATGCAAAATTATTGATTCCTGCCAACTTTTAAGGGATCCACAGTAGTATGGATTCTTTTCCTTTGCTGCTGCTGTGTTTTACTAATGTAAGTGTTTATTTGAATCTAAACTATACACACTATTAATAAGGTTTTATTGTGTTACAGTACCCAGTTTTACAAATTTTGCTATGTAGGCTTATGTTTACATTTTTTTGTTATTCTGGGTTTTTGATGTCCACGCTTAGGACATCAATCCTAAATGTGAACTTTAACAACATAAAGCAACCAACAATAATAAGTACCTTGAAATAGAGGTTTATCAACCTGAAAATTGCCATGCACTTTAGTTTGCTCCAAATGTGCTAATTAGATATCAGTCTTTCAAAACTTGATCAAGGCTCATATCTAGCAAATTTAAAGTTAAATATAATTAGCACCAAACTTGAACAGCAAGCAATCAAGGATCAATTTGATTAGCATTTATGTTTGGAACATTAAAACAGAAATCATAGAAAGTACAAGAAAAAACTTGTCTGCCCCCAATCCACCCATTTTACAGCACTGCCCACATTATTGCTGAATGAAATCAGTTTATGTGCCGTTATACACAGTTGAAAATTTCTCCTAATACAGAATCAATTTCTTGTCATATACGATCTCGGTAACTTCTTGAAATATATTTATTGAAAGAAAACTATTTTTCACCACACTATAATGTTTTTGGCTGTATTACATACGTTAATTGGTGGCTGAAAGTTACGTTTTGCTGGCCATGCCAGCTGTCATCGTAATTTGGGGACCGAGCAGGTTTTTACAGGCCGGGGCGCAAAATCAGCTGTCCGCTTACTTAAGACATGAATGCATTTTAAATACACAATCAAAATCCATAGAATTGTGTTATTGTCACCGTTGCCTAGCAACTATTTATTTTTATTTTTGCTGATTCCTCAAATTATTTCTTCACATAACCTTAAAGTTGTAGTCGTGTTGACTATCAGTGTGCATTATTATAGTGGTGAATAGTGGTAATAGGGTAAAGTGTGGTGAAAAATAGCGTTCGTACCACGGACCGAAATGGTTTTACAGCTCTCGATCGATTTAAGTTCTCGACTTCGTCTCGAACTTAAAAACTATCTCAAGCCGGCAAAACCTCATTTTCGGCCCTAGGTACGAAATATACTATTTCACCACACTATGATGTTTTTGGTTGTATTACATACGTTAATTGGTGGCTGAAAGTGCTGAAAGCTACGTTTTGCTGGCCATGCCAGCTGTCATCGTAATTTGGGGACCGAGCAGGTTTTTACAATCCGGGCCGCAAAATCAGCTGTCCGCTTACATACTTTAACACAAATGCATTTTAAATACACAATCAAAATCCATAGCATTGCAATAGAATTGTGTTATTGTCACCGTTGCCTAGCGACTATTTAATTTTATTTTTGCTGATTCCTCAAATTATTTCTTCACATAACCTTAAAGTTGTAGTTGTGTTGACTATCAGTGTGCATTATTATAGTGGTGAATAGTGGTAATAGGGTAAAGTGTGGTGAAAAATAGCGTTCGTACCACGGACCGAAATGGTTTTGCAGCTCTCGACTTCGTCTCGAACTTAAAAACTATCTCGAGCCGGCAAATCCTCATTTTCGGCCCTAGGTACAAAATATACTATTTCAATCTCCGTTCCAACATCAGAGGTAGGTTGTTGGTTCTTCTAGAATGTTTTACATCAGAGTGAACTGGAAATTATTTACGGAAATTGAATCAAGTTTCGGATTTGTAATGTTGTGGGGATGAAACTAAAGACTATACAGTGTGTAAATTAGTATGGAAACAAATCTATATATTTTTAAACCCGAAAATAGACGACTAAATTCCCAATCACATATACTATTCGTTATAACCTAATTTAAATTACACAATTAAAGTCTGTAAAACACTCCCTATTCAATTAGTGATAGTTTCCAAATAATGGTGTGTAATATTTTCTCTGTATTATTTGATCAGCGGTGAAATGTTCAGTCAAGAATGTTTTTCCTTTGTACTATGTTTAGGCCATATTGTCTTGATGTTAAACATATGCTATGCTTCTTTGTTTTGTTTACATAGTTTTGTTTTGTTTAGGGTTGCATTTGTTGAAATAATCTTGGTAAGTTTGGCTAGAATATGTTCAGCCGTTATTTAGTGATAGTGTTAGAATGTTTGTATTGAAGTAGGTAAGAAAGCACCCATTTATAAAGAAAAGTTTTTAGTTGTAACAATTTTAGTTTTACTCTTTAATAGCTACAAATTGCTTGCGACTTACCATTTTGTTAAGTGGGTGAGGATCAGGGCTGATGTTCCAAGAAGTTCTTAAATCCTCAGAATATTTTTATAATCTGTATCTCTAAGCACATGAAATTGCCACCTTTCCAAGAATATGAGTGTTGTCTTTAAAGTAATTGATTAGGCTAAATTGAAGTGGGTATTAATCTTATACTTTTATTGCATAAATAAATCATTTTGCAATTAATTATTTACAAGGTAGCACCTCATTTAAATCATAAGTAAGGTCTGTATAAAATAATCATTAACTTGTTTGCCAAATTTTAATTTTTGAATATCATTCAAGAGTTGCGAATGTATAGTTTAACATTGAACAATCCCAAAATATATTTATAAAAGTCGTATACCCTACACATATTTTTTATGGTTCTAATATTGTCTCGTATCACATTAAAGCACCCCTGGCATAGCAAACCTGCATAACTCAGTCTGTTAAATTATTTTATAGAGTTCTTTTTTTCAAAAAGTTTATAAAAAAGGATACTAATACTTTGAACCTCATCCAGTATAGTCTACAATTTGGTAAAATAAGTTTGATACTGATTTAAGTGATGCATACCTCCATTCCAGGAACAAATAATGCTGGTCCTTTATCAAGTTGTAAAAAAAATAACTTTAACAAACGTTTTGGACTTTTGGAAATCTTTAAACAAATCAGAAAAAATGTTCCTGGTTTGGAACTTAATCATGATGACCTCAGTAA